TTAGGTTGTAAGCATATTCCCATTCCCTCTAGACACAGTAGGTTGCATGCTCCCTTTAACCTTCAGTGATGTGTGTGCTTCTTTCTGGACTTGGGATTAAACCAAACCATCAATCATGGTCCCCAATTCTCAGCTAAGTTGTGGAGGACCAAGTATAGGAAGGGAAATGCTTCTTATAATGTCTGAATGAATATTGCTTCTGGCTCTTATTCTGGAATGTCCATTTGAGCAGTGTACAGCTTTCAAACTCCCAAATTGAGTTGCACTAAAATTCTGGTGCAGATTTTTTTTAATGACTGTTAGCCTGGCTGTTTTGAGTTGGATTTTAGGGTGGTTGGTTGATTTTACTGATTGAGAACACCCTTAAAATAGCAACCTTTAGAGTGGAGTCATTAAGTCCTAACCCAAACTGTTTTTTGCTACCTCTCTAGACTCTTAAGCTTGAATGTGTGTGGGAAAAACCTTTTGGACTTGGCATTGGTGGCCCGGCATCTCTGTCCCCTTAAGCAACAGATTCCGAAAGGAAACTAAATATGTATGGAGCAGAGTTCAATTGGAAGGGCAAACCCCTGTTTTGGGCCATACTCAATCCCGAAACTCCCACACATTTTTCAGTTTATCAGTTCTCTTTCTCTCGGGTGAGGTCCATGGGATACCTTGATTATCTAAGTCCCGGGCTATCTAGAATGGGCCTGGGGTAGCTTGACCAAAAATCCTGTTACATGGGAGTTGGAAAATTGTAACTTGAGGGTTGAAAAGGGGCAGTTTAGTAACAGTAAGGACAATTGGGACTTTGGCCTCATTCAAAAAGGATTGTGGGATCACCTTCTCATGAAAAAGAAGTCAGCCACTCTAGAGTCAATTTAATCAGTCAGCATTCCTAAGGAAACTACATCATGCGATTTTGGTGCAATTTGAGTTGGGAAGGTTGAAAATTCTACATTAGTCATCTGGTCAGACTTTAGAGTGAGAGAAAGGAGGAATGTACGTACAGAAATGAGATGATGAGCTTTCTATACTTGCATTCTGCAACTCGGCCGAGGACGGCCAAGAAGTAAGTGTGGGGGATTTTGTTAGGCTTTTTTTTAGTCTTTAAATTCCCTTACATTTACTAATCTTTGGGTCACCATTAGTGAGAATTTGGTTTAATTTAAGATCAAGAAAGAACGTTGACCATCCTAGAGGTTAGAGTGCAATTCTTGTGTTATTTTATGTCCATTGGGTTAATTTTTAGAATCGGGCTAGACGACCCAAAAGTGAAAATAACTAACCCGGCCCATTAGTTAGTATAAGACTTAGGACATGAGAGAGGGAGACTAGTGACGGAGAGGAGAAAGGAACGAGAGAGAGGGAAGGTGAGATCGAAGAGTAAACTGGGAGAGTAATTCCGGCGACCAGGCATAATCCGGCGAGCTGGACCTCACGATCATCATCATTCATCACACAATCACCAAGCGCTCCTCCCGATCAGGCGCTGAACCCGAACAGAGGAGTCATCACGTTCGTAGGATTTGATCCTCGAACGCTGTCCATAGGTACTTTGTTGTTTTTGTTTACAAATTCGGGATACAGTTTTAATGATTGAGGATTGTTTGAATTGTTGATTCATAATTGAACATGTGATTTCGTGCTATTCAAATCTGAGTCCTAATCTCTTGTTTGGACAATATTTTCCTGTGATCATGTGTTTGAATTGTGAATCGATTATCATGATCATGTCCCGAGAGTAATCCCTCTCTTGTCTGCTGGAAATTTAGGATCAGTTCTCAGGAATTTGTGTTCGTTGCAATGATTTGAGGTTTAGACAGTTGTTGAAGGTTGTTTAATCCTGTTTTGTGCTCAGCTTCTTAAAACTGTTGATTGTAGGTCTCATGCCTCAATTATTCAGTCTGAAATTCTTATTTGGGGTTCAACAACGGACATATAGTGTATTTGGCTGTCCAAGTATATTGTATGTTCAAATGGATTTTTATAACTGAATTCATGCTTATGTTAATTTGCATCAGGCTCATCCTGAAGTTATTAACGTAGGTACAGGTCCTTAGGCAGTGCTCATCTCTCTTAAGGACTGATTTTTGAGGTGGAGATTTAGCTCCTTGCTGAGAGAGCTAAATCTCACTTTTGTTCAACAACTTGTTTAGCTGAGAATCTGATTTTTTTTTACTTTGATCTGAGCAACTGTTCCTAATTCCACCAGACAAGCCTGTTACTCCATTTGATATCCACAAACCTTTACCTGAACTTCTCTCTCCTTCTTTGATCTGTTCTCATAGTTTCTGTTGAAATCTATTTTCATTACGTAGCATTAGCATCTTATGAACAACCCCCCCTTGCGTGTGTGTGTTGTGGAAACTGAGCAATAAATCAAGAGAAGAAATAATAGAAGACAAATCTCCCTGTGGAGGAATGACCCTACTTACCACTTTGCTACCATTTTTATAAGTGTGTAGTAATTGGGGAATAGGTTAATTTGTTGTCACCTGAAAAATGGCTAACATATACTTGGCAATTGCAGACTGCGCCATCAGTACTGTGATTGTAAGAGAAAGAACCGAGCCCAGCGGCATCCGCCCGAATGACCAAGTGGGCGGTCTTCATCAGTTAGTACAATGTGGAGTTCAGGCCGCGTCCATCGATCAAAGGGCAGGCACTCGCCAACTTTCAGGTTGAGTGTACTGCCAGGGAGATGACAAGAGCCCGAGTTGAAACCCGGGTAGAAGATGACTGGTGGGTAATGAGCATTGACGGATCTTCTGGGTCCCGATCCTATAGAGCAGGTATTGTATTGATCACTCCGGAAGGTTTCTGGATATATTACGCTATTAGATTTCAGTTCCGCGTATCCAACAACGAAGCCGAATATGAGGCCCTAATTAATGGACTAAAGATTCTCGGCAAGCTGGGGTATCAAGGGTTCAGGTATACAGCGACTCCCTCTTGGTTGTGGGACAAAATAGTGGGGAGTTCGAAGCAAAGGAAGAGAGGATGAAGAAATATCGAGACCTATCCTTGGAAATGTTGAGAAGATTTGAGTATAAGCTAGAGCACATACCCAGAGCGTACAACGCGGAAGCTGATGTTTTGTCCAAGCTTGGCGCTGAATCGCCAGAATATATAAAGCAAGTTAGCAACTGTGGAGGAGTTGGCAACCTCGAGTCTCAACAGGGACAAAGTGCTCTGGGTATCTGCCGACCCCCCGGAGTGGGTAGACAGGCTGGCTAGATACATTGAGGACGGGGTAGCCCCAGAAGATCCCCAAGAAGCCCGATTGCTGCGAATGAGAGCACCCACTTACAAAGTGTAGGATGGAGTCCTCTATAAGCGCTCTTACAACGGTGTTTTACTGCGTTGTCTTAGAGCGGCAGAAGCCAGAGCGCTTATGGAAGAGATACATGAAGGAGTATGTGCGGCACATCAAGGCCCATACTCAATCTCTAGAAGGGCGATAATCTAGGGATATTTCTGGCCGACAATGAGGAAGGATTGTGAGGAGTATGTGCGCAAGTGTCCAACTTGTCAACAATTTCAGAATATGCCTGGGAGGCCAGCCACGAATTACATGCCCATTAGTTCAGTGATCCCTTTCTCAAGGTGGGGGATTGATATCGTGGGTGCCCTGCCGAAAGGAGTTGGACAGGCAAGGTGGATAGTGGTAGCCATAAACTACTTTACCAAATGGGTAGAGGCTGAGCCACTTGCTGGGATCACAGGGAAGCAGATGATCGATTTCGTGGGAACCAATATACTTTGCAGGTTTGGGGTCCCGAAGCAGATCATATCCGACAATGGAACTCAGTTTGAAGAAGCGGAATTCCAAGACTTCCTCAAAACCTGGGGAATTCAGCATACGAAGGTATCCGTAGCCTATCCCCAGGCTAATGGTCAGGTGGAGAACGTCAACAAGACGATTATAAGTGGGATAAAAAAGAAGTTGCTGTCGGAAGGAAGCAAGTGGGTGGATGAACTACCTAGAGTCCTATGGACATACAGGACCACTCCAAGAAGGGCCACAGGTGATTCTCCTTTCGGCTTGGCCTATGGGTTTGAAGCCTGGGCACCAGCTGAAACAATAATCCCAACCAGGAGGGAAATGACATATGACCCGGAAGTGAACGAACAGAATCAGGCCGTTGAGCTTAATCTCTTAGAGGAAAGAAGAGATGAAGCACGAATCCGGGCACAGAATTACCGTCGCTAGGTGAAATCTTACTTTGATAGTAGGGTGAAACCGAGGGCATTCCAGGTGGGGGATTACGTCGTAAGGAAGCAAGAAAAGAGTCAACCAACTAAGGGCAGAAAGTTGGCCAAAAAGTATGAAGGACCTTATATCATTAAGGTCGTTGTTCGCCCAGGTACCTACAAGTTGATGACTCCAAAGGGAAAGGAAATAGATAGGACGTGGAATGTAGAGCACTTGGTAAAATTTTATCAGTAAAATTGTTTTGCAAAGCACTTTACTTTCTGTTTAAGGCATTCTCATTTTGTTTCAACAATAAAGAACTTCTTTCCTTTAAGGCCAAGTGTCTTTGCAATTCCATTGTTCTGTAGATAAAGAAAAGGGGGGGGGGGGGGGGAGAACACCCCTGGGCGAGATAGACCCACATTACAGGGAGGTAGAAAAGTTTATGCCACCTGCTAAAGATAGGAGAGGTAGATAAGTTTATGCCCCCCGGAGGTAGATAAGTTTATGCCTCCGTGAAATTTGAAGGAAGGGTTGGGATCAGACTTCGAGGGCCTTTACAACCCGGAATTCAGGAAGAACAGCAAGCAGACATCGAGGGCTGGAGCTTAGTATTCCACCAACATGGGTCAACCAAGCAAACAAACTTCGAGGTTTGGCGCTCAACTGATCCAAGGTAGATAAGATTATGCCTTAACCCGGAGGAACGGAGGTCAGGGGGCAGATGAAGTAAGCCCCCACGACATATCCAAACCCCGGGAGATGAGATTTTATACAAGGTAAGAGCATTTGTACTTGCTTTTGATGATATGCAAAGAAATAAACGTAAAGGGCTATATTGAAGGGCCAAAGGCTATATCTTTGGTTCAAAATAATCGTTCCCAATGAGATGAACGAAACAAAGAAAATAAGGAAGTTCATCGATTGCTAATTCGAAGGTTATATCTTTGGATTACAACGACTATTCCTGATTCGGGATCAAAAGACATTCCTTGGCTTAGGATGCAGGAAACCCCCGGACCAAGAAAGTGAATTCCTCTCGAGATAAAACAAGAAAAAGAAAACTGATCTGCAGGGGGCTAGGCGCTGAAGGAGGGCCAATTGCACCCATGCGGTCAACTGGAAGGAGGTGGGGGCCCTCTCCATGGGCTCCTTCTCTCTGATGAAGGACACACGACGGAATCGTCAGCCTCGCCCATGTCATAGTCTTCCCACATTCCAGGTCGGGATGCAGGTGGTGCAGATTGTGAACCATCACTGGGAGACCTTGGCAGGGTTGGAGAAGCTGTTCGGCTTTCACGCGAAAGTTCTGCCTTTGCGGGCTGAAAAGAATGCCCAAGTCTAGCCTTGCGCATCCTCTGGTACAAGGTGAAGTCTTGGAGGGTCATAGAGTCCCAATCTATCCTCCCGGACGGAAGCCTGGGTGGACTAGGAGGTGAAGGCGGATAGAGTCTTGAGAATTCGACGAGACTCAGCCTAGCCATGTCATTGGACTGAGCGGGAGAGACAGGAAGATCGTCATCTGAAGATGAAGAAGTTCCGGAAAGGGTCAGGTCAATGAAAACCTTACCCTGGGCTCTGTCTGTCATACTGAAGAGATCAGAAGGTAGTGAGCCAGCAAAAAACCATCTTTCCCCATAGACACCCTTCAGTCATTCCCATGAAAGAAGGCAAGGAGAACAATGAAGCATGAGGGGAGGATTTACGGCATCATTCTGCCTACGCCAAAGGGGGAGGTGGATCCTGGAAGGTTCCGTCCTTTTCCCTCCGCGTAGACGGACGCCTATTTCCCCCCATGTCATAGTCCCCCCACTCTTCAGGGCTCTGTCCATGTGACTGCTGAGGAGAGGGAGAACCTTGGGAGGAAGGTCTCGCACCGGAGACCAACCGGGTAGCTTCTGAGTGAGGATTGCGCCTCTTTTGGGAGCGGGACGCACCAGGACGACCAGAGGAGGCTTCCGTCTTGTTACTGTCAGGGAGCACGCCAGAATCCAGGAAAATACCCCCTGATATTTGCCGGGGGAGACGAGGATGGTTCTCCCCCCCGGGCAGGGGAGAAGTCACCAATTGTTCGGAAGCGGAGGAAGGCCCAGAAGGGAATTCAGGTGTTGGGGCACCAAGCGAAGGAAATGCAAAGGAGGTGGAATTAGAAAAAGAATCAGAGATAGTCAGGTCAATAAAGACAACTCTGTTGGCATTATTAGCCATGTTGAGAAGTGGTTGTGCTAATGAAAGTGTTCTGCCGAGCTTCTTAAATAGGCGAGCGGCGTCAAAAGGGAGTGCAAAGGACACGGAGTCAAAGCACTTATCAGATTGGGAAACAGTTGCAGATTCCCGAGGAAAGCTAGGGTTGCGTCGCTCATCATGGGCTTGGGTGAATTAGGCTCGGCATAATTAAGGCGGGCCAGTCACTTAGCGCGGTAGGAGAAAGCGTTTAAGCAAATACAAATGTGGGTTAAGCCCAAGACTTAAAGCAGAAAAATATTTCGCTATGTCCCAAAGCAAGATCAAAATCCCAAAAGGAGAATAATTAGCCCGAATAAAGAAGTCTACTGGAATGTAAGTACAAAAGAGATATTGACAAAGGATAAAATGCTACAAGCATTACCAAGTCGATACAATTAAGATATTAAAAAGTAAAGTACAATGATTGTCAGAGAAGAAGAAAATCAAGGCCCCGGATTAGTACGAGAGTTTGGGGGAGGAAGGGGAAGAGGCAAGCCGTAGTATGTGATGAAATCATCTAAGGACCGGTGGCAAGCCGTAGTAAATGCAGAGCTGCACGTCAAATTTCCCCTCTTCGTAGAGGGCCTCGGCACGGGCGGTCAGGGCAGCCACCTCTTCTTGATGGGAAGCCCTAGTCTTCTCTAGTTCTCCCACCTTCAACCGGAGCTCTTTGACAATCTTTCTCTCCTTCTCCAGCTTCTGGAGGGCATCCCGTTTCAACCCCAGGTGTTTCAACATGACTTCACTAAAGTGGGCACCCTCTTGCTTTGCCTCACGGAGTGATTTCTCCAATTCAGAGATCCGAGAGTCCCTTTCAACCAGTTCGGCTTTCAGGCTCCCCTCCTTGCCCTCTAAGGCAGAGACTTTTGACTCCAGATTGGAGATTTGCGCCCGAAGTTTGTTGAACTGTGTCTCCAGGTCTTGGGTACTTCCCTTGTAGGTAGCGATCTGCTCTTGCAGGGACTTGACCCTGGATCTTTCAGCCAGCAGTTCCGTTGAGGCATCTGCTTTGAGCCTGGAGTTCTCCTCTTGAAGGGCGTGGACTTGCTGCTTGAGGAAACCAACTTTTTGCTGCAGAGCTCTAGCGGCCAACTCCTTATCCTTAAAGACCACCATGGCCCGATAATTTCCCCATGCTCCACCTAGGTACTCCTCAGTCAGGGTCAGGAATGATCGTTGGGTCTGGAAAGGCGGAGGGAAAGTCAAGAAAGGGATAACTTAAGAGGAGTAAGAAGAATTTAGAAAGAAAAGGGTACCTGCTCCATGGAGTGAAGGACATCAAGGGCAAGCAGGTCAGGGCGTGCCTCTGGAATTATAGGGTCCTGCACCAATCCCTTCATCTTCTCCAGATTGACCTGGATGGTGGAGTGGGAGGCCTTCAGGGAGTTCAGACCACGGGAAAAACCTGCCCAACCGTCCTTGAAGACAGGATAAGTTTGCAGCGTGAACCTGCAATAGATGGGGAGATTGAAGGTCGGGGGCGCTGCGGCGGAATGCTGCTCCTCCGTTTCCTTCTGTCCTCCAATCTCTTTCTCCATCCCTTGGGGAGTAGTAGCAGTTGGCGGGGAGGTGTTTTCCACCACAGGATGGGATCGCCCCGTTGGTCTTTGGAGTTGTGCTTGGTCAGGAGATTTATCCGCTTCACGGTCCAAGCTAACTGGGTTGGGTAACTCCAGCTCTCCGGTACCAGAAGAAGCAGCCAGGGGGTTGGGCGAAGCAGGGACACCATCACCCTTACTCTTCTTGGGAAGGAAGTCATCATCAGTGACCCCTTCCCGTGGCCGCTTCTGGGACGGTGTGGGCTTCCTTAGCCCATGAATGGCAGAAATGGGAACAGCCTCCAGGGCGGCGGATGGTGTGCAGATTGCCAAGGCAGTAGTGTCACCTTGAGCCTGGCTCCTAGAAGAGCCTTCGACCGGATGAGATTCCACGGTGGGAGGAGCCTTCGACCTCCCAGGGGAGGATACCCCTTCAAATGGGAAAGGGTCAGGGCCTAGAGGATAGTAAAAATCTGCCTTTTTGTACAATTTGGAGTCCTGAAGGGAATGATGCGAAATCAGTCCCCCCTCCTCTTTTAAGGCATTGTACGCTCCCTCCGCCTGGGGTGCGGCTGAGGGAACCACGACGTACTATACCCGGCAGATCTATGGGGCTATGAACAGGGAACTCGATGATGAAGTAGCGACGGGCCCACCTGTCGATTTTGGACTCAACCTTCTCAAAAATTGGAAACTGGGGATGGGGAAACACATTATAGAAGGGGAAAGCTCTGCCGATGCTGAAAAGGACGAGGAATTGGTCTAGTGTTGGGGTCTTATCTTAGGCACAGCACCGCAAGATGTAGGATGCGACATATTTGTGCACATTCGCGGTCAGTTGACCAGGGGGGAACTCAAAGGTCTGGCAGATGTCGCGGACCAAGCCATGGAGGGGCAACCTGAACCCGTTCCCCACCGTATGGTAGTGCATAACCATATGCTTCTGGGGGTCCAGATTATGGGATAGACTGATACCCCCGACAGCATCAGGATGGTGGATCCGGAAGCCTTTGCTCAGAGATTCGGCCATTTCTCGAAGTTCATCCTCTTTGATGATAGAGGATTCATGGACCCAAGTTGCGGGATTAGCGGAAGGGGCCATTTCGGAGAAAGAAACGAGAATTTGGGGGCAATTGCAGTCGGAATTCGGGTCAGGACTCGGCAACGAAGAAAGAAGAAGACGAGTCCAGAAGGGGTTATATCCGTTGTGAAGAGAGACCCGAGACACTCGAGTGCGACGTTTCTAATCCGACACGAAAACCGAAGGTGGCTCATCATTAGTTTTCTAGCGACACGTCGCCAGAAAACTAGGAGGCTTGTGATGGATATCGGGTCTGATGGACCCGACTCAAGGCCCGATGAAGGCCCACAATCGTGCAAAGTGAACGAGTCCAGGTGCGTGTAACGAATCGGGCCCACTAAGGCGCATATGGGTAATGAGGCGGACGGCCCAATCATGGGCTAAATTAAGATGATCCAGTCCGAGAGAGGAACATGACACGTGGCCCACACCCCAAATTGTGGGGGAAATGGGAAGAGAACGAGACCGGAAAGGAAGGGAATTACAACCCCACGATCTCCATAATTCTTCCCATTATGTGTAACTTTAATTGAGAAATTAGGAGCACGATAAAGGGTGGAAGAACCCGCCATTGTAAGGAGAGGACAATGGATTATACACCCAATTGAGAATAATATTTTGAGAATACATTTTCCTGATTCTTATTCCGTTCTTGGTCCGCCATCTAATCGGGTTAATCCCATCAAGGAGTAAACTGGGATGATAGTATTTTTATGAAATGTCATATTTTTAATAATCTTATTTTTAAATAGATGTGTTTTTTTACTAAAAGTGCTGAGTACATGTTATTTAATTTAAAATTTTTAGGGATTCATTGACCAACACAATGTTCTTGCTTTTAAAACCAAATTGGAAGAACAATGTTCTAGTTGAATGGAACTCAAACTTGTACCAAAAAACGGAACTTGTACCAGTGGGGGTAATTTAGGAAACCCGTGCCAAATTTAGTCCTACCAAGAGAAGTTTAAGTTTTGAATCTTATTTTGGTATATTTACAATGTTTTGGTCCTATTTAAGTCTTTCTTCCTCTTTTTCAACCATCCTACACTTACACCAAAAAATGTATCCCATTTGTACACCATAGCTATGCACAAACATTTTGATGATTTACACCGACACAAGTGTTGGTGCGTTAACAAAAATTTACACGGATACAAAGTGTTGGTGCGTTAACAAAAATTAGCTTTACACCAACACAAAATGTTGGTGCAAACCTGCAGGGTACAAAGTGGGGTAGAAAAACTTGGGGTGCAAATAGCATAATCCTTTTTTTTGTTTTTTTTCTCGCTCGGTGCACGTCTTCTCTTTTTGGAATGTTTCCGTTCTTACTCAAATGATTCTATTTCGACACAATTTATGATTACCCTTTAACTAGTTTGATGTGGATGGGGTAAAATGGAAAAAGAAATTATGCTAGATAGGAGTAAAATATAAAGAAAGTATTAAAATAAAAATTCTATATTTTTATGTACAAAATGAGTGATAACTAAACATGTTATTCCTACGAATCTAATTCTGCCAGATACTCATACTTTTGACCGTATTAGATGTTAATGATATTGAGAACTAAACCTTTTACTCGCACGGATCCAATTCTTCCAAATACTCATACTTTTGACGACATTAGATGTTACCAATTGTAATAACTAATCTTGTTATGGACACCGATCTAATACATTTGGATACTCATAGTTATTAATTGAGTAAATTTCATAATTGGTCCTTTATAACAGGGGGTTTCCCTATTTAGTCCTCTATTATCAGATATTACACAGTGGTCCTTCTTTTATGGGTATCTTTCCACAAATAGTCCTTTTTTGATCTTCTATTATGTTGTTGTTAATTTGAGGCTAAAAGTGTAATTTCGCAATGATAATATATTTTTTTGTCATAATATTTTTTTTTTCATATACAATTCCAAAGGCTATTCCGTTTCCATCGTTTGTGAATTACAGTCGCTTTCTACTACAACCATAGTCTACAAATGTGGTCTTTCGTCGGAATCCTAGCCCACAATCATAGTCATTATTTTTGTGTTATCCGCTTAACCAATATCAGAATATGTCACTAAACATAATGTTGATGTCAAATTATACTTTTAGCCTTTAAATTAATATCAATATGCCAGAAGATCAAAAAAGGATCATTTGTGGAAAGACCCTCTTAAAAAAAGGACTACGTGGGTAATATTTGATAATAGAGGACTAAATATGGAAACCCCCCTGTTATAAAGGACCAATTATGAAATTTACTCTTTTTAATTTTACCTTATAAGATGTTAGCAGTACTGATAACTGATCTTGTTACTTACACGGATCTAATTCCGTCGGATACTCATACTTTTTTATATATAATTAACATGTTATTAGTACTGATTATTGAACTCATTACTCGCATTGATACAATTTTTCTAGATACTCATAGTTTTGACCGTATAAGATGTTACATGTATTGATAAATGAATTTGTTACTCGCACTAATCCAATATCTCTGGATACTCATACTTTTGACCGTATATGATCTTACCGATATTGAAAAGTTATCTTTGCTACTCGCACGGATTGAATTCCTCTAGATACTCATACTTTTGACCATATTAGATATTATCGGTACTGATAACTGAATTTGTTACTTGCACAAACTAATTCCTCTAGATACTCATACTTTTGATAATATAGGATATTACCGGTAGTGATAAATGGACTTGTTATCCGCACAAATTTAATTTCTGCGGATACTCATTATTTTGACCACATAAGATGTTATCGATACTAATAACTGAACTTGCTAATTTCATGCATAGAATTCTTTCAAATACTCATACTTTTGAGGATATAGGATGTTACCGGTACTGATAACTAAACATGTTACTGTAACGCCCCGAATTTAGGCCTATAAGAATTTGGACCCAGACATTAAAAAAATTCTAGTTTTGAGTGCCTGATTCCAAAAATGCGATTCGTTTTCAATTTGAAACAATTTGGATGAAAAAGCTCGTACTGTTTAGGGTAAACTGCTCAGTTTGGACATAAGTCCAAAACTTTAATTCCCAAAACTCCCTCTCAATCACGCAACCCCATTTCGTTGATTTCACAAATCTCCAATTTGCTCCAAAGTCTACACCATAGCCACCCTACACCCCACTAACTCCCTAATAATACAAGTTGGTATATAATACTTTAAACACTCTCATCGTCCACAACACGATCATCATAATCTTCCTCTCATCCTCTCTTCTGTTGTATTTAGGTGCCCTAGCGGCAATCAAATACTTATGTAACTGTACACTTTATCATGAATGAAAGGCCTTGAAGTATGTTTTATATCTCGTGTAACATAACATAGCTTCAGTCCATAGACGATAGCGCTTCAGTAACATAGATGAGGACTACGATGTTCTGATTATGAGACTATTACTTCTTGACGAAGGCTATGTCTAGAATATCCCTAGTCGCACTTTATGATAATACGGACGTCATAACGTATCAAGACTAGTACGTACGAGATGAGATAGTTGCGTCTCATAGACTATAGGTATTGTGATATTTTAATCTGTACGTAGGTGCATATTATATTGATAATATGTGACTGGATTGACCCATCTTGAGAATACTGCATGGATCTACAGTAATATGTTTATCAGTATTCTCAAATCGACCTTGCTATAACTATCCTCAGACTTGAAGTTATTACATTCTCTGATATGTGGGGCCGTATGCTTTGATTCATAACTAATGCTATTTGAAATACTGGTAGACGTACAGTTATACGTTGGGTATGCCGCTAAGCATATTTAGAGATGTGAATAACAGATACAGGATCTGTCCCTTCTACTGTATAGAAGTATAATGTCAATGGGCCCACTGAATAGTAGGACTTGGGAAAGTGCATGGCCATGCCCAGATATGTCGCTATCTAGAGACTGATAAATATCTGATCC